GACCTATCTAATAACAATTCGATTTTGCCATTTTAAACGACTTGACTCACCCCTTTTCTTTGAAACCTCCAACTAAGACGTAGGAAGTATAGAGTCTACTTGACGACATTTTTACTTTTGGCAACAGAAAGATACAGGAGTGAGCGATGCATTGGAAATATAGAAATAACCACATAGTCAAAACTTCCATCGAAAGTTCCGCTTATCATTCCAAAATTTCATGGCAGCCATTTCACCTGAATAAATACGACCTATAATAGACTGAAAGCTAAAAAAGCACCAATATGTTCAGCAGTTTGTAAGCTACGTAATTTTTATACATCTACTCGAAAAAAGCATGTATTTTTTGAACCAGAAATAGCAACCGAGTCTCGTTAAAAATATGCAGCTGTGAGTTTTACCTTTATCTCTATACCAGCATCACGTTTGCAACACAATAGGGGTAAATATTTGTACACCTACTAATCGATACAAGACGGAGGTTATAAGCATGGTTTTATTCGACAACTCACTGTCGATTTTACAGTTAATTGTCGTGGTAAAAAACGAAATATCCGCGATCAGCGTCCACCCGGCAACAACGAAGCCTGTCATCGCCCCATTCAACTCGTTACCCTAAAGCAATTCAGAAGTTTTATCTTGTATTGTTATGTTCGTACGTTTAATACTGCTATTAACATAAAGCATTGTTTTCGAGTGATGCTATAGAGTTCCGCACGGGTATCACGTATCTTGAAAAGTGACATTATGCCGATTTTTTTTGACATTATGCTGGCTTTTTTTGACATTATGTAGGTTATTCTACAAGATGTTTACTTAGCACTTAGTTGTACGTGTTGCCTAAACGTCATGAGGCTTGTTATCAATCTTTGGCTTCGATGTAATGTAAAATCTGCTTCTGAGATGGCATTACTAGAGGTCTAAGCTGTAAGTTGTATGTGCTGATGATAATTACACTGAGTTCTTGTCTCAAATACACTTAATTGAGATTCAAAGCTAGAAATTAGTTGCGCATCCACTTTTTCTTATCCATTCTGGAAATTACATATACAAATTTGCTGAATTTCAAAAATGAGAGAGATAAGAAATAATTATATTCACTGCACACTGTCGAATTACAAGCCATATACATGCTAACAGTAATTACGCACTACGCGGGCACCGTGATGATTTCCCGTAATTCTCCTCAGTTTTTCGTAACTTATAACTTTGAACATAACCTCTCTTCAGAAAGCACAACATATAAATAACCCGTCATATTCGGCATATTCAGTAATGATTTTCTCACACAGCAAATATCACTGATTTTATACACATGCAGACCAATACACATAATCGTCCAGTTGCGATCTTGCTATTCAACCAACTTTCTTCTCAGAGATAAAAACTACAGACCCGGATCACTCAGCCTCACAAAGCTATGCAACCAATAATACGTAGTTTATTTGAGTGATTTCTCCACAGATGGACATTGACAACGATCCTAGTGAGCAAACGTGGAATGACTGTTTGCGCCTTAAAAACTACCTAGTCTGCAAGTTGACATCTTATAGGTTTTTTTTTGACGTTCTGTAGGTCTTTTAGATGATACCCGTGCCGATCACGTTCTGTATCTTTGATGGCATTAGTAAGTTGACAGCCAACTTGCATGTTCGAGACCTTTGGTTGCTTTATCTGTGATACTACTTACACGTTCTGCAGGTAATAAATACCATGATCGGCGAACATTCCCTTATAGATTCTTCCTGATGCTAAGATTTTTTTGTGTGTGACAGGGAGCTTCCGAATCTAAGATTTAAGTGAGTTAGTTGTTGTGGGTATGATCCCAAAAATCGATTATTATATATAGATATCAAACCAACAAGACATGACTGTAATTTATATTTCATTGAGCAACCACTAAAATAGTAGCTAGCAATTACTTAAGTAGGTTTATAGCTTAATCGCGAAGACCAAAAGCTGAATATCCAATAATGAGTATTTCGTCTTGATAACCTCACTAAATGTTCTTTGGCACCCAGTAGTATATCCTCTTTATTAAATAAGCCTTCCAAGAGATATCGTTCGTTATACTGATTACAAATTCGTACAAATTTATACCCGTAACCTTACAACTTCAAATATTTCACTTCCGTTATAAATGAATATATTATCTATCTTCTCATTTGACTTTCAGTGCTCGTCGAAGTTCTTCTCCTATTATTCGTCGTGTTAATCCCGAGACACATAGCAGGGGATTAGCTCGGAAGAATTAGTTAAGCAGTGCCTCTGTCGTATACCCCCGTAATCCCATGAAGCACGTCCTCCAAGAAAGCCCTTACATTAATTGGAAAATGTATGTGACACGCAAAACATCTGGCGCAAAGCGCGTCTTATTTTACACGTTCTTTTAGCGACGTGGCTATTAAGAGGACGACACGCCATTTAGATGTAAGTTCAAGCTTTAGCGCTTTTGGAGCTACAGCGCTTTTCACACTCGTTATAACTGAAGTTCTCTGAAAATACTTTCTTCTTATGGGATAATCGAAACAGGAGAAGAAGTAATAGCCGCCCAGTTGTCTTATACTGCCAAACATAAAGTTATAAAGCTCGAAAAGATATGGCGTCAAGTAGGTTGACTCTGCTCTTCCTAGCAACGCCGTCATCAATTCATATAGGCTTAAGTTCAGCAATTTAGATCCACTGAGAAAAAAGTTAGTTACGAACAAAAACAGAACAAAAGACAAGTTAAACCTTCAATCAAACAGCCCATACAATCAGTCCATATACATTCTTTCCCTGTCCTACCGGTACTTATTATCCATCTGGAAATGCTGTCCTTTTCCACGCGACGTCGCTCCAGCGAGTAATCATTCGTGTATGTTCAGTATGGATAGAATAACCAGCCGGACCGGTTCGCTGGGCGGTGAGTCGGATAGACGGTATACGTGGAACGAAAACCTTTTTTTATCATTCTAAGTTGTCAATGGCAAATGTACGGCGAAATGTATGATGCGAGAAATATGACTAATATGTTCGTAGAATTACCGGGGCTGGAAGAGTACACATACACTAAGATCACATAATTTTCACGTACAAAAAAATCAGTAGTCATATTTACTACCACAGAGAAGCATGTCCACAAGTAATATTGAATAGCTGCATATCTCCGCGGTCAGAGCATCCCACGTACATTGTAAACTAGACTACAGCAAAATCCTGTATTTTATTAAAATGTATTAATTATAAAGTAGGAGTAGTAATATCCATCCATAAATTCGGTGAAAAAACAGATGCTAACAATTACAGGCCTATAACTCTTCGCAAAAATGGTTGAGAAAATTATAATATCACGACTTTGAAATTTTTTTGATACACATAATCTGATTAATGAAACACAATATAGATTCAAAAAAAGCAAGTCTACCCAAGATGCAATTTCTTTTTTGACATCAAAATTATACAAATTGAATATACCCTGTGTCTGTTCTTAGATCTAGCAAAGGCATTTGAAACAGTAGACCACTTGCATCTATTATTAATGATACATGATTCAGGAATCAGAGGCAACCTCATAAAAAGTTACATTTCCAACACAAAGCAGAGCGTAAATTAATAGTTCCTCAAGCACAAACAAATTGGTAACTCATGGTGTCCCACAAGAGGCAGTGTTAGGCCCCTTATTATTTACACTTTACGTTAGTAGCCTGCTGAGCTTACAATCTGAAAGTACAATCATATGCGTTGTAGACGATACGGATAGCAACTCGTGTGATAATCTAAAGGAAAAGGTTGAAAAAAACTTAATAATAATTGCAGACTAGTCCAGACATAAATGCCTAACTATCACATTTCAAAAAACTATGTTCCTGCCATTTGCAAATCCTAGAAACAAATTACCATCATTTGTTTCTATACAGATTAATTACGGTAATACCAATACTCAAATAAATATAACAAACGAATTAAAATATCTCCGTGTATATATAGACTCATATTTAAATTCTAGTATCTAAACAAATATTTGGATGAAAAAGTAACAAAAGTTTCATGCTATGTTCGTCAGTCCTGTTACCAAATGAATGAATTGAAAATTATCCAAAAACAATTTTTAAAAATAATCTTTGACAATCCACTTCTGTACCCATCTGATCAGTATTCTGAAACGAAACTGTTAGACCCTAGGTAGCTATTTTCTTCACAAAATTTTAATCTATCAGTTTCCACATAGAAATTACCTTATTCCCTTAAAGCATTTATATCAAATGAGAAACAGAATTAACAACATCAAGCAAACACCTTTCACCTGAAAAAGTATATGTCAAAGATGTCATACTTATCTTTACAGTAGGCTATTTAACATATTACCGAATGATTTAAGGGATATTTTAAATAAAACTAAATGAACAATTGCAACAAGAAAATTCGTATTGGAGAAAAATCGACATGAAGTTGCAAGGTCGATACATCTGAAAGAGAATTGAATTGAATATAGTAATTGAAAATCCAGATGTTCATATACACTCGTATTTATGTGTATGTATGGGTGAACCATGTATATGTATATGTAAATATTTCTATAAGTTTTAAGTAATCCATTCCCCCGCACAAGACTTAATTCTTCTGTGAGTATTTGAAGTTTATTTATGTTTATGTACGAGTATGTTAGCCTTAGTTATGTTTGTACAATATGGAAATAAACTTATTATTCTTATTAGACCGTAGAGCAAAAGTCTCATTGTAAAATCAGTTACTCCACTGCACGTTCCTTATGAAACATCTTTAGATATATGTTATACATATGCGAATCAATTTTTTTTTTATATTCCAACTACCACGAAGGCCTAAGGCCTAAACACCCATTGGGTACCGTGGAGCTATAGGGGGATACAGGGGAAAGGGGGAACGCCATACGGACTCTGGCGAGGGAACACGTGTGCATGCAACATGCACACATTCTGGCTCCGCCTACGAGATCCGCCGGGTGGTACCTCCACGTTCGCCAGTCAGAGACCGTCTACCACCTACGGACAATCACAACATCCATAGCCAAGAGAAAAATTTCTCCTGGGACGGGACTCGAACCCGCACAGCGCACGGTGACTGATCAGGAGACCGGAGAGTCTACTACTGCGGCCACCGCTGCTGACTATCAATAATAAGTAATAGGCGTCTTTATTTAATATATTTACTGAGAAACTATTATTTGGAGTAATCCGGCTAACGATTGAAATTTTTGGCGAAAAACTATTAATGAATACTTTTTGAGTGACTGCTATATCGAGTTGTATATTACAATTGTATATTACAGCATTATATGACAAACCACTTTTGAAAAACAATGTGGTATGGTGTGGCATTACAATAATTTTGGGTCCTCCTATGAATTTACTTATTAAAAATAGTCTCTCAGATATTCAGGTTTTAACGTCAAAAGTAATTACTGGATGCATGCTGAGTAGTGGTATTTTACAAGGTCACTTATTGTGAGCCACTTGATTTAGGGTACTTTGCGGATGAATTTACGTAGTCTAAAGGTAGGTAAATCGGAAAGACTTTTTTTTGATACATTGGATTGTGTTTTTAGTTTATTGGCCCAAAGAACTATATAAAATGTTACACTGATTTGAGACAGGCAACTCCAAGGCCCTACCTAGTTTTTTCGTAACTTAAGGTTGAGTAAAAGTTAGTTTGACATCAAAGCTCAGAGCCTTAGATAAGTTCTTCGCGATAAATTATGCACATACTATGAACCGCAGGTTAAAATCGAATATAATACGAACAAGTATCTAAATGGAACACACAAATAAAATAAAGCTAAAGCTCAAAACTGCAGTACTTGGCTGATGCAAAGGTTGAGGAAGGATCATTGATAGTGTGTATGTTGTGTTCAAATCTGTCGGAGTTAAAAATCAAATGATAACGTTCCTCAGAATCTGGCCAGCATCCTATTATGTATTTCGTTTGAACGTGATATCAAGAAGACGATACGCCATCTAAAAAACTACGTCTAAGATATTTGCGGATTGCTGAGGACGTTAGCAGGTTTCTTAGGCTAATTGTAATTGACGAGCTTCTAAACACATTTTTTTATAGAATATGCAATTGAAGTAAGACCATTGCTGCTGTCAACTAGTAAAAGGAAAACAACTGCCTAGCTTTCTGACACGGAATCTATCACAAAGACAATGCCTAAAATCAAAGTACCGTAAGCTGCTATGCAGACGTGGAGGCAAGTTTACACTGATTTGATCAGCAGAATGATTGAGAATTGCGTTTTCAAGGTACCTATGTCATTGTTCTTTCAGCTTAAAAAACGATGTAACCTCAAGTGTTCCTCAGCAGATACGTTTTGATAAAGATGTGTATTCTCCAGTCCATGTCTTTTAACTGCTTAATAAGTTTGCTAGTACTTTATTGAAGGGCTATATTTGATTCTAACAATACACGAAGGTGCACCTGATTTTTTATTTGCAATCTAAGCCGATAAAACAGATAGATAATTTAACGTTACTCCCGCTCCATTACTTCGTCAGTTCATTATAAATTGCAACTGGCGTAATTTGTGCTTCCGACTTCTTCAAAGGACTCGAATTAATTAAAATAGTTCATTTGGAAAATGAAGTCGAGCAGGACAGTGAAATAAAGAACTGTCTGTTTTTCCATTTTGCTTTTTCGAGCACCAAAGAGCTGGAGAAGATGAGATGGTCATTATTTTAGTATAATTGAGTCATTCAAATCGATACCAGGAGAACTTTTCCAATTCCTTCGTGCAACTGTCGACACGTTCTATACGTTCACTTTAAAACTGTCTACTGTTGAAACGTTCTGGTCAAATCGCATGAATAGATAGTAGCTAAACCCTAGATCCACACCTCAAACTGTAGGAAATAAGCCTATGATATTTCTCTTTCAATTCCAAATCTATGGAAGATATGTGTGACTCTTGTGTAAAATTTGTTTATGCCGAAGAAGCCGCATAGACAGAAACCGATATACCAGAGTACCATGCTGCTAAGAAGAACTTAAAGGAACCTAGTTAATACAATTTTTTAACTGTTTAAGGTTAGTAGAACTGGAAAAATCTTCCTCTGGTAGATAGCTCCAAAATCTTGATACTCTAGGGAGAAAGAGCGGTCGTATCGGGCAGTTCGGCCCGGTTAGGATGAGAGGTAGAAGTCAGGCGGGTCTATCTGACAGGCATACCATCCGGCGGCATCATGGAGGAGAGTTCTGAGGAGCAAAGTCCGTTGACATAGCGGTAGAAGGGAGCTAGATCGCTAACAACCCGTCGCCGTCGTTGCGAAAGGGTCTCGAGACTGTCCGTTAGAGAGGAGTTATTGACGAAGCGGACAGCCCTTCTCTGAACAGCATCGAGCATGGACAACGTGCTCCAGGCGGCAGCACCTCAAACATACGAGCAGTACTCGGGCATTGTATGTAGAGAGAAGGTTCTGTGGAGAAAATTACTTCTTAGCCTTAAACAAACAGCCTAGCGTTTCCGAGTCGGGATTGACAAGATGTGTTCAAGCCATGTCAAGACGTCGGTGATCTGGACCCCGACCAGCCGAAATGAATATATCTTTGGTAGAATTTTGCTGTCCATCGAAACTGGATGAGCGCTAAAGCTAGTACTGTGTTTTGGAAGCACTAAACTATACAAGGTTGATGCGTCCCCAAGCAGTGATAACCTCTAAGTCTCTCGGCAGAGGGAAAGTCGCTGCTAGTCTTATTTTCTCCAGTTCACCGGTAGAGATCGGCTTTTCACTCTGATTCCTGCTTGTTGGGTGATGTCATCGGCAAAGCTATGAATCGGGCTTATCGTCCAGAAAAGCAGGTTGTTGATTTCTAAACGGAACAGTGTTGGTGCTAAGACCTGATCCTGGGGAACACCAGCGTTGACAGTGAAGGATGCGGAGGAGAACCCGGCAATTCCTATGGATATCATGCGACCAGAGCTCTCTGGGAGGCCATATTATGGAAGTTTGTATTAGAGAACCGCATACCGTAGCTGATTGAACGCTTTCGTAAGATCAAGAACAACGATATGAACACCACCATACGACTGGATGAGCTGACCTCATATTTGCGTGACGTAAGCTGACGTGGATTGCTGGTGCCGGAAACCACCCAACTAACAATTATCACTCCTATTAGAGTTGCAAGAATGATTATACAGTATTCCTTAAACAGCACTGTATACTGTAAGAACATTGGCAAAACCCTCCTAGAACAGCTATACAAGCGGAATGGGCACACCTAATAGGACACTTCAGTCATTTAAGAGGTTAAATAAGGGCTGCAGGTAACAGTTATAAAACAAAAGTGTAAGCCTCTTGCAGCCGCTATAGGACTTTTGCGTCAGTGCAAGATTCAGTTTTTGTCAACTATACAACTATTCTGTTACGTGATTATACTTTATTGCAACCAAACTATTTCTTATGTATTGTATAACTAACACAATACAGTCATCTTGTTTACTTATATATCGGTCATTGTGAATTTCATACACAGGTATATGATAAAACTTCTACACTGTGATATAGGGCTATTGAATTACTTGCGCAGCAAATTTTATTGTGATTGTCGTGCAGATTAGTTACCCAATTTCTACGGGCTTCGTATTTGATTCATATTTTGACAATGATCAAAAGTATGTCTAGATTTTTAAGATGCAAAACTGAACTTATCTGCGTTAAATCATCCACAAATCCTATATTTAGACACAATTACACTAATGTTTATCACTTTATATCTGTAATTTCGAACTGAAACATAATTATTTAATATTAAATAGAGGAATAAATGTTTGCCCAATATGGCGGGTGGTTGTGTACAATCATGGCATCGTCCATGTTGTCTTTAGGTCATTAGAATATTTTGGTGTTGCCTGCAGGTGTTATACAACAATTTGACAAATGTCTGAAATGAAATACCGACAGAGTCGAATGATTTACCCAGAATTTCTACCAGATCTATATCTTCTGTTTGAACAGTTCATAAAACCTTTTGAACCAATATGCATGCGTTGTTTGTCTTAAAACATTGATTATGGCATTTTACAAAAATATGACAGCAGAATGTTAGGTTATGGTGAAGTTGTTTACAAACATATTTAACATATGTACAGCCTTAAACAGTTACTAAACAACAGTTGTATAAGTGCTTCCGCTGGGAGCAATTTGTTGGCTAAAGTAGTAAATTGCACAGCAAAACAACAAGGCTCGGGTTTGTTTTATAAACGTTACCATGGATGCCACAACACAACTATTTTGACTAACGTGCAAATATGCCGTATAAAATAGTTGTATAAACGTTTACGCAACAGTTAAAAATTTGCCCTATAAGGTGTTGTATAACTATGCTATAATAATATTTTAAACACTTCATTTTTGAGCAAATATGTTGCAGAAAGTAAATCTGCATTCCACACAACATTAAGCCAGCATTTTGGTGTTCAGGCAACAACAATAGAGAGCTTCTATGGCTGAACGGTTCTTTTACCAAAAGCTTATACCACTATTTTGCTAGTTGGGCAGAATGGAACCCGAACCTTCTTAATAATTTAACGTCTTCCACCGATATACAACGTAGATCCTCTATCCCCAAGTTCACACCTCCAACACGATAAGATTATTTAATAAGTATGTTAATTATTTCAATTTCCAAAATTGGATCTTCAGCGATTCGTATTTTTTTATATAGACGGGTCAAGAGTTACCGGACAGACAGAGACAGATAACGTAAATGGATAACGTGATTTTTGGTGATTTCAGGCCAGCCTCCAAATGATATAACAAAGATAGATTGCAATACTTCCTCGGCAATTGCTGTAGGAAGTAAAATCATACTCTAGATTAATTTTTTTGCAATTAGTATATCCTCACCTATGCATACACTGTATAAGAAGTAAAGAAGCATGAAGATTTTACTCCTGGTTTGAACAGCGCTATGCTGTGGAGATTGCGGAGCTGAATACTTTATACAGTACATGTCAACTCCAGCAAAACAAGAATAAGTGAATATTTGCAGTATCAAAAGTTAAAACACGTGTTGTCTTGAAATCGATTTCATTCAGCACCAAGTATTCGCATGCACTTTCTATATTCTGTGGCCGAAAACGGAAATGGTAAAATGAAAATCTAAATTATTCAAATGACACGTATTGCATTTCCGAAAGAATTTTCCGCGAATACGTTTCCATTCCGCAAGTATACTTCCGTTAACGCTTATTTTGTTCTGCTTCCTGAGAGAAATGCGCATTCCGAACCAAAGGCGGATTCACGAAGCGTACAAGCAATTTTCACTTTTCAAATCACGATCCGCATTGTTATCACGCAAACTGCACCGACACATGTCGGTCTGCAGTTGGTAGACTAGTGCTCAACATGGTCAAACCAAATTAGACAATCTGTCAGCATGGCAAAAATGTCTGAAAAACCTACTAGAATAATTGTCTCTCCAGCACCTCTATAAGGAATTGAAAGTGCGTCACATCTTAATGAGCCGTATTCATAAAACAAAGGATATCCTTGTACTTGCAAATTTTGAAGCAAATCCTCCAGATGGTATTTATAATAATTTGAAGTAAATGATTTTGCTTTTTGAGTATAAGCATATCCTTCAAAGCAGTGACACAAGTAAAAGGATATTCATAATCTCCACCTTACACTTGGCATAGGAAGCATATCCTTCAACAATTCTGAGTGTGGTCAGTAGCAGACTCAACTTCGTAACGAAAAGTGGTCAAACGATGATGGCGGAAATTGTGGATGTTAGGGATGTTAAAACGTACAAACCTCGTTTACCTTCACTTGGTCGTGACTTCAAAAAATTATATCGGTTCGACGAAGCAAATGTATAATGGCTTGTAGATAGATTTTTAGTTGAGAGTGAGGAAACTCGAGGAGGGGCACTTTCATGTATTCATAAAATGAAGCTATGTCTACGCTATCTCGGTGACCCTGGATATCAACAAGGTATTGGTCAGAAACTTGGTGTTAGTCAACCAACGGTATCTCGGACTGTGGATAGAGTTATGAACAGTATAGTTGCACAGTCGAACGAATGGATCAAGTTTCCAACTACCAACCATGAACTGATGGAGATCAAGCGGATCTGGCAAAGCATGTATAAATTTCCGACAGCAATTGGTGTAATTGATTGTACGCATATAGGAATCCTGAAACCAAATCGCCATGGAGATGAGTATATCAACCGAAAAGGGAAACCCACTTTAAATGTGCAAGCCACTTGTGATGCCAGAGAGATGTTCACAAGTGTCGATGTTAGTTGGCCTGGATCAGTGCATGATTCCGGAATATGGAGAAATTCACAGACTAGATTACAGCTAATAATTAAAGCAAATGTTGTACTACTTGGCGATGACGGTTATGGTATTGAGCCATGCCTTATGACTCCCTTCAGAAATCCTACTCCAGGTGCAGAAATAAATTATAATAAGCTTTCAAAACAAGAAAGAGCTATAATTGAACGCTGTTTCGGCCAACTGAAACGCCGGTTTCCTATCCTACAGTCTGTTTTCCGCGTAAAGTTGGAAAATGTGCTGAAAATAATTATTGCTTGTATTGTACTCTATAATGTTGCGACGAGCTTGGGCGATCCTGACTTTGAGTTAGTTGTTAGTTGAACAAGACCCAGATGAAGTTGAAGGAAATCATGAGAATGACGAACTTCCTCTCGGTCAACTAGGTCAACAAATAAGAAGAAACTCGAGTATTATAATAAATAGTTTTACTGATTAAAGCGTATTTATAAGCTATAGCAAGTTCTACTTTCGTGAATATCACAAGTTACCTACAGGTAGCTTCTGACGCTGCATCATTTCTAATTTCGTTTTATAATACTCTTGTTGTAAAATACTTATTTGGTACTGCTCTAATAGCACTAGACGTTGCAGTTCGTTTGTAGTTAACGCTTTGGTTTCCTCAATTTCGTATTTCTCTGTTGCTAATTTTCTTTTTGGTGGCAATGTCTACTACATTGTTGGCGCTGTAATACTAACTGTTTGCGCACTGCGTATATATAGTTCACTTCCTTCTTCTTGAACACTACCAACCTAAATGGCACCTCTAATTTTCCCATTTGTAGGACTACAGTCACCTCCCATAGCTTTCAACAACTTTCTTCCCCAATCTAACAATTTTATTGCATTATTACCAGTCTTTTTAGATCCGTTTTTCCTTCAATCTTGATTTCATGTTGTTGATTTTTTTTTAAAAGCCTTTAGTATCTAATGACTTACCGAATGTTGATTCGAATTTTTTCAACATGTTCGTCAAGGCATCGTCCTTTCTCATTTTTATTTTTGGAACTTGTGACTTCTGTAAAATAATGGGAGCAATGGCAATTTCGTCTGCGATGAACTGCAGGTCGTTGCCATTATTTTCTATAGTTTCCTCATCACTTGAGGATGACATGCTTCTTAATTTGATATAAAGCTGTATCCAGTAAAAATACGGAATGGTCTGTGTAAACTCTGGAGTACAACTGTCAGTGATGCTGAGTGAACGAACCCCCACGTCACCTACAAGCTGGAACAAGTCAGGACAAGTTGCTCAAGATATAAATACCAGTCAACCTGTTACTTCTTCTTGAAGGATATCCTCGCGAGTATAAGGTAATCATTATGAATATGAAAACAAGGATATGCTTATACTTCTACCTTCTTCTCCGAAGCAAGGCCTTATACTTTTGCCTTATGCTTCCGAGGATATGCTTCTCTTTTATGAATACGGCTCATTGTTTTATCGGAAGTTGAAAATTATATATGGGATTTCGAGAGAAATATTTTGGGTATATTGTGAAGTATTGCTTCTCAGTTACCGTGTAGTTTGTGGGTATAAGCACCCTTGAACAGAAAGAATTATCTTATGTGATTCATAAGTTAAATTGTAAGAAATATGATTCAAACGACCCCAGGCTTCTTTCTGTATGACTTGTATTAGGTTTCTGTGAACAAATCAAGCAATAATGAGCAGCTCGCAAATAGTATTCGGAAAGCTAATCAAAATATTCTTCACGAAATCCACCGAACAATGATGTAAAATGTAATTAAGAGGGCTGAGGCTGCAGTGCCATCGAGGACTTTGGTCGGACGGCTCTTGGAAAGGAAAGCAAATCCTTAGGACTTAGGTTTGTGCGGCTTCCACAGGTGAGCATTTATATGAAATCGTTTATGCATATAACTCCTAACATTCTTAAAAAAAGGCGTAATGTATACTGACTCTGTGTGGACTTTGATTATGCAGTATGTACGATGTACAACTAAACCTGTGCACACTCTGGTATCTTTATTATTCAATGACTACGAAATTACTTGTATCTTCATATAGGGATGAAGAGTAGAACAAGTATCATTGAAAAATGGTATATATTTTAAAGAAAAAAGAAGTTATGAACGTTGAATATCCAGCATATCTGAGTCAACCTTTCAACATTCTAGTTTCTTTGCTATTTGGTGACGATGGAAATCCTAACAGCTGGTAATGTTATAGAATGAATATAACTGAATCCCTAATTTATTTTTTCTTCATTTTATTGGCTGTAGTACATGATAATTGGAAAAGTTTTCTAAGCCCTGCTATCATTACGCCGTCGTTCTCCGCCGACGACTTCGATGATGCTGCGTCTGGAACACCATCAGCGTTGCTAAATTTGAATGATACTTGTAAAGGAGGTCGCGTGTTGCTAAAGTCACATAAGTAAATATTATACTAAGTACGTAGGACATTATATCTAACATGTGGATAATAATACGGGCTTTCAATTAAGGACTTGACAACCTTCTTCTTAAATAAAACGCAAACCATTTGAGATATCTCGAAAATTTTATTACTGGATTGAAGTATACTCAGAACATTTATGTATGGAATTCGACCTCGTTCATATGTCCACCACGTTCGCAGTGATCGATTCGTTGAACCCAATTTTCAATGACTGCCAAACATTTCGACAGAAACGGTCGTTCAGTATAGGCTATGATCTCCTCTAACGGCGCCGGCTTGTTGGTATAGACCTATGATTTAATGTAGCCCCACAAAAAAGAGTTGTTAAATCACACGATCTCGCTGGCCATTCGACCGTTTCTCGATATAACACGTTCACCGAATTTTGATTTCAATATGTCGATTGTTTCACCCGCTGTATGGTTTGTGGCACCGTCTTGTTGAAACCACATATCATTAATGCTAGCCCATCCAATTGACCAAAAATTACGTTGCAACATGTCTCCGTAGCGATATTCGTTGACTATAACGTGACGGTCATTTTCATCAACGAAAAAAATGGCCCAATGACACCACCGGCATCAAAACAACACCATACAGTTATTTTTTGTGGATGAAGTGGTGTTTCTTGAAGCACATGAGGGTTTTTAGCTGACCAATAACGCATATTCTGTTTGTTGACGAAGCCGCTTAGCCAAAAATGCGCCTCATCACTGAAGATGATCTCGCGATGAAATTGGTCATTTCCTTGCAACACTTCTAGAGCCCAAGTCGAGAACGTACGTCGGTTTATATGATCGAGCAGCTCTAGTTTTTGAGTTAGCTTGATCTTCTAAGGGTGCATGCCAAGATCTCTTCGCAAAATTCGACATAGTGTGGTCTCAATTCAGAACGCCGCGGAATCTACGTGTTCTGTTTGTTTGAGACAAAAATTTGAACGGCAGCAATATTCTCGGCACTTCGACCAATCCCTTGTCTCACTGGCACGGGAACATCCTGCAGCGAATATTCAAATTCAAATTCAAATTCAAAATATTTATTTCGTCATGAATAAACATCATAAACAAAAAGAAATTCTATATATAGAGTAATGACGAAAAAGGACAGTCCCTCGATTATAAAACCGATACATTGGACCCTTTAATACAAAGAGTCCATGCGAGAAAGCCCAGAATACCCTAAAAGTACTAAAACAAAATAAAAAAAAACAATAAAGAGGCAAATGAAGAGGCGGTGAAACACAAAAAAGGCAAAAATGAAGAAAGAACCCCCGGAGCTGGCAACGGACGCGAAAAACAAATCTTTACAACCTGTCAGCGAGTAGGAATGTAAAAACGATATTTTTGCTCACACAAACGCTGCTAAAGTAGCTGGTGATTCTGTAACAACGTTTTTGTCAGTTTTGAGAATGTTTTTGACGATGAGCTTTTAACTGAAGTTGGTAAATTGTTCCATAAGTGAACCGCCACATAGGCAAACGATCGTCGGAAGGAATGCGTTCTATGCCTAGGTACAATAAAATATGAGATTATTTCTGCTTCTCTGGGGACTAGACAAAGGCACAAATTAATATGTTGTAGTTATTCAGATAAGGAGTGATATGGTTTCGATATGGAATTCCAAACGCAAATCTCATGCAACTATACTAAGTGACATATAAATCCGAACACCCAGTTTAAATGGTTTTATTTTAATAAAACTTTGTATAAGTACTTAATGAAGCATAATAAGTAAATGATAAAAATTTCAAAATGATTGCACTGCTTTAAAGCCCTTTGACCTTTAATAATGTGTGGATGCACCCTGATGTGCTACGCATTCTACAACGCGCCTAGGCATGCTTCTGATCAGGTGGTCAATGTCCTCCTGTGGTATCTCATTCCAGGCAACCACCAACTCCTCTCGAAGTGCTTCTAGAGTCTGAGGAGGACGTTGTAAATTGAGCAATCTCCTACCCATCATATCCCACACGTGCTCAATTGGGGATAAGTCTGGAGATCTTGGTGGCCATGGTAACAATGTGACATCATTATGTTGAAAGAAGTCTATTGTGACTCTTGCAATATGTGGCGGGCATTATCTTGTTGGAAAGTTGGATCTGCCAGGGTGTCAAGATAGGGTAAAAGATGGGGTTCCAGAACTTCGTGGATATAACGCTGCGCGTTCATGTTACCTCTGATGAAGATTAAAGGTGACCTGGAACCATAAGCTATAGCACCCCAAACCATAACTCCAACAGTGTGGTGAACATGTCTTTCAACAAAAAACTGTGGATTCCTCCTTTCTCTGGGATCAGGAATGCAACAGTATTGTCTTTAGTGACGAGTCTCGATTTTGTTTAGGCATGCACGATGGTCGTGCCAGGGTTAGAAGGCGACGTGGTGAAAGGTGGAATCCACAGTTTTTTGTTGAAAGACATGTTCATCACACTGTTGGAGTTATGGTTCGGGGTGCTATAGCTTATGGTTCCAGGTCACCTTTAATCTTCATCAGAGGTAACATGAACGCGCAGCGTTATATCCACGAAGTCCTAGAACCCCATCTTTTACCCTATCTTGACACCCTGGCAGATCCAACTTTCCAACAAGATAATGCTCGACCACATGTTGCAAGAGTCACAATAGACTTCTTTCAACATAATGATGTCACATTGTTACCATGGCCACCAAGATCTCCCGACTTATCCCCAATTGAGCACGTGTGGGATATGATGGGTAGGAGATTGCTCAATTTGCAACGTCCTCCTCAGACTCTAGAAGACCTTCGAGAGGAGTTGGTGGTTGCCTGGAATGAGATACCACAGAAGGACATTGACCACCTGATCAGAAGCATGTCTAGGCGCGTTGGAGAATGCGTAGCACATCAGGGTGCATCCACACATTATTAAAGTTCAAAGGGCTTTAAAGCAGTGCAATCATTTTGAAATTTTTATCATTTACTTATTATGATTCATTAAGTACTTATACAAAATTTTATTAAAATAAAACCATTTAAACTGGGTGTTCGGATTTATATGTCACTTAGTATATTTTGAACTTTTTGTATGCATTTTTTGGTTCGCGACGATAGCGAATCACCAT